ATGCATATTTCTGGGTTTGCTAGCTAAAAACGCAACATTAAATATAGCACGTAATTGGCGTGAGCAGGTGGCGTGGGACCTGGTGGCTTGCTTTCTCACTTTCCCTCTTTCTCTCTCTGTCTCTCTCTGGCAAGCGCATGTGTCCTATAGCGATTTTTTAAAAAATAGTAATAGGGACCACGAGGTGTTGTAATGGTTATGTCACTAAACTCCCACCTAGTCGACCATGGTTCGAGTCCCAGACCTGAGCCTAAAACTCAGGTCAGGTGACCACGGGGGTGCAGATATCTGTTTGACGTACTGATCTAATTTATTTGCGTACATGTAAAGAACTGATATTGTGGACTCTGTCATAGCTTTACTTTGAGTTTTTCCAGAAACTTCCATATCCTCTTTCATATTGACTGTATTAACTTACATTTCCACCATCAGTATATAAGGTTTCCCATTTATTCACATCCTGGTTGACATGTTATGTATATTCCACTTTTCTTATTTTTTTTAAAGGATTTTTTTTTATTGTTACTATTTTTAAAAAATTGCTGTAGGGCACATGTGTGTGTGTGTGGGGGGACTTGGGAGAGAGAGAAAACTACCAGGTCCAGGAGTCAAACTGTCAAACTGTGATTGGCTATGCGGAAGTCCAGCATATTAACCATCAAGCCACCTGCTGGTCCCTAATTCGTTTTCTATCATTGTTTTTTAATTGATCTGTTTTTAGAATTATTTTATTTAACTTTATTTATTTATTTAAATTTGTCCAGAGAGGGTCAGAGTATGAGAGGGAGAAAATGAGAAAGCAAGCCGCCAGGTCCAGGACTTGAACCACAGTCGGCCATGTGGGAGTCCAATGCCCTTAACTACCATGCCACCTGCCAGCCCCTCCTCATTCTTTTTTTAAAAAGAATTGTTTATTGGGGCTGACAGGTGGCATGGTGTTTATGGTGCTGGACTTCCATATGTCCGACCATGGTTCAAATCTCAGACCTGGTGGCTTATTTTCTCACTTTTCCTTTCTTTCTTTCTCTGTCTCTCTTGGTCAAATTAAATAATAATAATAATAATAAATAAAATGAAATAATTATTTTATTATTTTTAGAAGAATGAAGTGTTTATATTTTTAAGAATTATTTAGCTTCACTTATTTTTAATTTGACTGAGAGTGACAGAGTGAGAGAGAGAGAGAGAGAGACAGAGAGAGGGAACGTCAGAAAGTAAGCTGCCAGGTCTGGGACTCGAACCATGATTGGCCACATGGGAGTCCACCACCTTTAACCACCAGGCCACCTACCAACCCCAGAAATAATTCTTTTTTAAAAATTATTTATGTACTGGGACCAGCAGATGGCATAGCATTTTCATCATTGGACTCTCACATGTCTAACTGTGGTGTGGGGCCCAGACCTGGTGACTTGAAAATCACACCTGGTCCGTGTGCATTCATGCCCAAGATTGTGAGAGCAGAATGGAGGAGAAGGAATTGTGGCGTGGCCATCTTCCCTGGGGGGGTGATTTCTCACTTTCCAACTCTTGTCTCTCTCTGGCAAGTGCTCATGCCCTACGGCAAACCCTAAAAAGAAGAAGAAAAACCAAGATACTGTATCATAGAGAAGTCTGTAAGAGGATATGAAAGTCTTGAGTAGGAGATGGACTTCCTGGATGGGGTTGTCTGCGAGTGCTGTCGGGAACTAACTTTCCAGGACCCGTTGCTTTTATGGTTTCTCCGAGCTGGAGCAAACTCCAGAACACACACGGCGCGATCGTATTGTGCAGAGTTAGAGTTTCCTGTTTTCACTTTGTGACTGTTATATATAACTTTAAAAAAAAGGGTGGGGGAGGGCTGGCAGGTGGCATGGTGGTTAAGGCGCTGGACTTCCACATGGCTGATTATGGTTCGAGTCCCAGACCTGGCAACTTGGTTTCTCTCTCTCTGATGAGCATATGTGCACTATAGCAAAATTAAAACATAAATAAAATTGGGACCAGCGGTTGGCATAATGGCTGTGTCGCTGGACTCCCATGTAGTCGACCGTGGTTCAAGTCCTGGGGTCCGTGGCTTAAACTCATGCAGGGCATGCGTGCATGCGTGCCCAAGATCCTGAGAGGAGAATGGAGGAGAAGGGAGTGAGGTGTGGCCATCCCCCTGGGGGGTGATTTCTCGCTTGCTGTCTCTCTGTCTTTCTGGCCAGCACATGCACCCTATAGCAAAAACCTCTCCAAAAATATATAAATAATAAAATGCATTTAGGGCCACCTGGTGCGTGTGCATTCGTGCCCAAGATCGTGAGAGCAGAATGGAGGAGAAGGAATTGTGGTGTGGCCATCTTCCCTCATGTCTTGCTTTCTCACTTTCCCTCTCTCTCGGTCTGTCCCTCTCTGGTCAAATTTAAATGTATTAAGTTAAATAAAATAATTCTTAAACAATTTTTTTTTGCCAGAGGGCACATGGGCTCGCCGGGGAGAGACAGAGAGAAAAAACACTCCCATTGGGGAATGGTTACAACAATCCCTTTCCTTCCCCTTTTACATTCTTTGGGATATGGGGCACACACCCTCATGCGCCCCATGTGTTTCTCACGCTGTAACCAATCCTGGAATCGTGTAGATCATGTGGAACCCAGCCACCTTACTCACCACCCACTCCAGGGGCTGACCTAGAACTTTTTTTATTTTTTTCTTCCTTCTTTGCTATGGGGTGTATACTCTTGCCAGAGAAAGAAAGAAATCAATCCCCCCCACCCCATGTGTATGGCCATGCCACAATGTCTTCTCTGGTTTGCTCTCTGGATTCTGGAACGCCCTCGCGCCTGGCGTGAGCTTCAAGCGCAAGAGTAGCACGCAGCCTGCCACGTGGGAACCGGCTCCTTAACACCCACCCCCTCTGGCCAAGCAGAACTGAATTCATTCTGGCGTCACACAGGGGGCGGGACAAGGGCATGTCATTCAGATGTGCAGGGGGCGGAGCCTAGGCCACGATCCAATCAGGGGTGCTGGGGCGGGGCCTTCCAGTCTGGCGCATGCGCGGGAGGGCGCGTTTTTGCCCGGCTTCGCGGTTTCCTTGTCTTCCCTGCGGGTGTCGCTCCAGCGCCGTCGCTGGGCCGAGGCCCCAGGTGGCTTCGCTGGTGTCGCCGCTGGGTCCTGGACTGGCTTCGGGAGCCTCAAGGAGGCTGGGGGGGAAAGGGGGGGGAGGTACAGTACGGTGGTTGGAACCAGCTGAGACGGACCCCAGGGGGACCCCAGGTTGGGGGAGGGCGGAGGGCCCTCAGGGGTCCCCACTCCGTGTGTGGGTTTCGGGGTTCCTCTGAAGGGTCGGAGCCCTCCTTCCTTCACGGAGAACCGTGTCGTCCATTCCACGGGACCAGCAGTTGGCGTAATGGCTATGTTGCTGGACTCCCATGCAGCTGACCACAGTTCGAGTCCCGGACCTGGTGGCTTAAACTCACGCCAGGCGCATGTGCATGCGTGCCCAAGATCCCGAGAGGAGAATGGAGGAGAAGGGATTGCAGCATTGCCATCCCCCCTGGGGGGGTGATTTCTTGCTTTCTGTCACTCTGTCTCTCTCTCTGGTGAGTACACACACACTATAGCAAAAACCTCTCCCCCAAAAAAGAAAACTCTATCAAAGTATGTGTAAAGGTATAGTCATAGCAAAATTATGTGAGATCTTGACCTGTGAACACATTCTCATGCACTGAGACAGTGTTCTGGGGGTTTTAGGTGCACCAGCTCTTCTACTTAGTTTTTAGAGCAAGAAGCAGAATTGTAAATCAACACAGGTTTCACATTGGCCAGGCCCCACGAGGCACAGTATCTAGAAGCAGGGGCTTATGGGTTATGGGTGGGTTGAGAAATTCTTTTTTTTTTTAAGAAGTATTTTATTTAACATTCATTTATTTAAATTTGACCACAAAGGACAAAGAGAGAGAGAGAGAAAATGAAAAGCAAGCGGCCAGGTCTGGGACTTGAACTGCTGCTGGCCATGTGGGGGTCCAGCACCCTTAACTACCACTCTACCTGCCGGCCCAGAAATTCTTAGATTAGTAATTGGTTAAAAGCACAAGTGTTTGTCTCAGAAAGATTCAGAGTCACCAAAAACTGATTTTATCTTTTTGTCTGTTGTAAGGTTTTTGCCATAGGGTGCATGTGCTTGCTGGGGGCAGAGAGAGGGAAAGTAAGAAATCTACTCCTCCCCCTCCCCGCAAGGCTACACCACAATCCCTTCTTCTCCATTCTCCCCTTGAGATTTTGGGCACACACACACGTGTCTGGTGTGAGTTTCATTCACTGGCCCCTCTCATACTTGTTTTTGTCAGCCTTCAGTAATTCGTAAGTGACAATTTGGGTTTTCAAATCTTGTATTGTTTCCTTTGGAGTATTCTTCATATAATTTCTCTTCCAGAAGGTTGACCGTCTTATTAGTTTAGGGTGTGTGCACTCACTAGAGAGAGTGTCAGGAACAACTATAGTGAGAAGAAAGTGAGAAATCACCCTCAGAGCGGATGGCCACACCACAATCCCTTTACCCCCTAGGATCTTGGGTACACATGCACATCCACTGGACCTAAGTTTCAAGCAGCCGCGTCCAGGACTCAAACTGCCCTGTGGGAGTCCAGCAATGTAACCACTATGCCATCATCCGGACCAAAACAAGCGTTTGTAAGGAAACACAGACTCAGGACTTACGATGTTAACACTTTCCTGTACACTAGTTAGTGACATTTCAGTATGTCAGACCCAGTGTACAGTGGGAAGTTCCGAGTCACCCTGGTAGGACATTTTCCTCCTGGACTCTCCTCTGAGAGACATGTTTCCGCTCTGTACTCATTTTGCCCAATAGTTTAATTCTGGCATCAGAATTGCTCTACGGGAAGACGTGTGTGTAGACAGTGAGGGTTCTGATGACCAAGTCATGGCGTAAATGTTTGGAAACCACAGAATCCTACGAACTGAGTATAGCTCCCCAGTATTATAGACTGACCAACCCCCTTTTACACACGTAGGACTCAGTGGCCTTTGAGGACGTGGCTGTGAACTTCACTCGGGAGGAGTGGGCTTTGCTGGATTATTCCCAGAAGAAACTGTACAAAGATGTGATGTGGGAAACCATCTGCAACCTGGCCTCCGTAGGTAAGGAGAGGAACAGTCTTCCATGCATTCGTTTAGAGAACTATCTTGCTCATCAATATTGCTTCATAATTTGGAACTGGAAAGGGAATACTTTGCTGAATAAATCAGGGATGCCTTTAATACACTGCGACTAGAGAATCTAATAAATTTTCATCATCTCATAATAATGCATCATTCATTTTCTTCATCTCCATTTTAGGGAAAAAATGGAAAGACCAAAACAGTGAAGCTCAGTATAAAAATCACAGGAGAACTCCAAGGTAATTGTCTTTTTCTTTTTCTTTTTTGTTAAGAGAGATTTTTGGGGATTTGCAGGTGATATGCTGTTTGAGGTTGCTGGACCTCCCACATGGCCGATTGCGGTTTGAGTCCTGGACCTGATGACTTGCTTTTTCACTTTCTCTCCCCCTCCCCGCCCCCTCCAGTCAAATTTTTTAAAAAGTAAATAAAGTTACATAAAATAATCCTTTAAAAAAGAGAGAGAGATTTTTGCTATAGGGTGCATGTGCTTGCCAGATAGAGACAGACAG